CACTGAACCAATCCGTCGCAGGACTGGTCGAGAGTGTTGGTCACTTGGTGCAAGGCTTAAATCGCGTTCAACAAGTCTCGCAAGAACCTCATCGACTTGCACAAGTAGCGAATTCAAGACCTCCAACTGTGAGAGTAGTGGATGCGACCTCACCACCACCAGCTGCGCGGAGAGGACCGATCGACTCTTCGTCGACCTTACCACAATTAGCAGGCGTAAATATGGAGATGCCAACACCAAATATGACTACTTTCGCTGCTGAAAGTGATGCAAGTTCATCTCGTGAGCCTAAATTGCGGAAAATGGACGTAAAACCACTAAATTTGTGGGAGATATTGATGGTGTGAAGCTTAACAGCTTTATCTTTCAATTCGAGTCGTATTTTCGACAAAAAGGTTACGATTTGCTACGGCATGACGAATTCCTTTATTTGGAGTTGAATCAATGTGTGCAAAAGAATGCACTTGTCTGGTACGAAAGGTACATGACTGACGAAGCAACAACCAAGTTGTGGAGTGCCATGAAGTTGGAAATGCTTGTTGAATTCATGGAACCGAACTTCGAGGAGAAGGTTAGGAATCGTCTGCTTACGATCAAGCAAACCGGTGGCTACATAGGCTACGTTGTCAAGTTTAGGGAACTGAATGGCATAGTTCAAATCGATGACGGCACCGCAATGAATTTGTTTTTGAAAGGATTGTCGGACATGGAAAGGAAGCGTGAGATTTTGAGGGAAAAACCTAACGACTTGAAATCGGCAATTTAAGATGAATTTCTCGAATGGGAACTCCGCGAGAAAACTTCAATCACCAAAAAGCAAGATAAAACCGATCCAAAGGAAAAAGTAAAAGTGTAAACAACATACCATCGAGCCTAAGCAACAATTCGTATCCGCCGGCACGTAAGCCAGATAATGGCGGTCATGTAGGAGGAGTTGCGGTGAAAACAGCCAAGAACTGCGGGTTTTGTGATCGTGGCCCACATCAGGTGGAGGATTGTTGGTTTAAACATCCTGAGAAGCGCCCCAAACCAAATAATTTGAACAAGCAGATTTTTGCGATGTTGGAAACGATGGTAGTGGGGGACAACAAACTCACGATGGCAGTGAGCACTTAAACGAGTAAATCCACTTAAAATTGAGCGATTGAGTGGATATACTCGCAAGCTCAGCCGTCTAAAGAGTGATAGTGATTGTTGCGTGGTACTCAACAAATGTGAAAGTAAAAACGCGATGCCACGAACAACATGTGATGCATACAATTTACATAATCTGGAAAATGATAAGTCAAGCCAGAAACAAGTTGCACATCAGAAAAAACAATTGACCGTGTATGATTGCATTACAAATAGAATTTCGGCTGGCAGATTTCTTGATGAGAACTGTCCGGTTAACAACGTAACCGATCCCTCCAGCAACTACGAATATTGTTGTCTGTTACATACTACGAGCACAATTCAGTGTGCACAGGAAGATTTGATCCTCACCAACTCAAATTTTATTAACAGCGGTGCCACGATTGATGCTATCAGCCCTGGGTTTTGTCGTAGGGTTGGATTGGAAAAGAGAATGATTGACCATGGAGTGGAAATGCCTATCATCCTGGTCAACCAACAGGAAATGTCGGTACCAAAAGGCACGGTACGGCTACAATTGTTCATGGATTTATTCCCAACTTACGTAAATGATTTTCTCGTGCTACCAATACCTGAGAATTGTGATGTGTTGCTGGGCATGCCTTGGTTAAAAACTACGAACCCAGATATCAACTGAATCGAGGAAACAGTCAAAACCACGTGTGGAATCCGGGAACAAGGATGTAAATAAGCCCAAAACACCCAAGAAAAAGAGAATAAACCCACGAATAGCTAACATTCCTTCGAGTAAAGCTATGAAGACTGGTGGACAGCGTTTTGTGTGGCTGGGAGCACTATCAACGATTGTAGTCGGTATTTACACCACGGATTCTTCTCGACAATAACTGGAGAAACAAAATACATTACAAGCAAGCAATTTAAACAAAGGCTTGATTGTGTTTTTGTGGTTCGCACTGTTACGGAGAAAGAGCAAATCGACTTAGAAAAAGCATTTACCGAAGTAGAAGCATACCAAGGAGTACCTGTGTATCCTGTGTTGCTTCGTCACAAAGAAGTATTTCAGCAAAAATTACCGTATTGTTTGCCACCTGAATCACATGGCGTACACAAGATGGAAGTTGATACTGAACAACCCGTCTTTAGGCAGCAATGGCGGCAATCTCCAGCACAGGAACGCGAAATACGAACTTGGGTGGAGGAAATGTTGAAGGCAAGACTAATCCGGCCCTCATCATCGCCAAACGGAGCTCCTACTTTCTGTTTCAAAAAAGCTGTATGTTGGAGGATCGTGCATGATTATCGTGCGATGAACAATCATACGGTAAGAAGGACCCTACCAATGCCAAGAAAGAATATAATTTTCGAAAAAATGATCGATGTGTATTGGTACAGTTGTATGGATTTATTGAGCGGGTACTACCAGTTTCGGATGCGTGACGCGGATATATAGTAAACCGCATTCCAGGGAGCGGATGGATCATATCTCCAGCACAGGAACGTGAAATACGAACTTGGGTGGTCGATTACATATTTACGCGTGGTAATGATATCCAATCTCATCTCGATGTGTTGGATACGGTACTCACACGACTAGAAGAGAATCACTTCTACGTCAAGCTGAGCAAGTGCGTATTTTGTTCAGCAGAAATACCGTGTCTTGGAGACTATATTGGACGAAATGGGATACGAATTGACCTCAAGAAGGTAGTAGTGCTGCGCGAGTGGTCTCTGCCTAAAACGAAAAACGAGTTGCAATCATTTCTGGGAACTGCGACCTACGTGCAACGCTTCTTTGCAGGTTTCGCTAATGACGCAGGACCATTATTTGATATGATCAAGAAAGACAAGTTGAAGAATAACAAAAACATTGGGTGGTCAGAGGATCAGAAACAGCACTTCGAGTCATTGAAGCAGAGAATATCGGCTACACCAATCCTCGCTGTTGCTGATTTCAGTAAACCGTTTTATATGCGAATGGATGCGAGTGAGTACGCGATAGGTGAAGTTATTTTTCAGCTAGAAAAACATGATGGAAAACAGTGGGGGGGGGTTCGCACCGGTAAAGCTTCAGTAGGCATCTCAAGAAATTGTTGCGGTGTCTACTCAACATTCTGTCCGAAATCTTGAGATGCGTTCTCACCGGCATATCGCGACTTTTCGTTTAGAGATCCCCTCCGACCAGGTGCAAAAATGGAGGCGACAGCAGAAGGCAAGCTGCTCGCGCTGTGCTCGTTTCTTGAATGGGACTACTGTGCAGAGAGCAGTGGTAAAGACGGCGAAGTCAGTGACGAGAGCAACGGTGACATCAGTCAAGTCATACTGTGTGCTTCAGAGTGTGTGACCGCAATCGCATACGCTAGCTATTCCGAGGACGAGGTAAAGTGGTGGGTGAAGCCGCGGAATGGGGAGTGGATCAGCCAGTTGGTGAGCTCAGCGACGCTGTTTGATGACGAGCGATTCTACATCAACTTTCGTATGCGACGCATTACTTTCTCCAAGCTCTTAGAGCGCGTCCGTCTTCGTATAGAGCGGCAAGATACAAATTTTCGTAAAGCGGTTCCTGCGAGCAACGTGCTTCTCGCTTTTCTTTACTATGCTGCACACGGCGTATCGTTCGCAGTGCTTTTTGTCGATCACAGCTTTGTCATTTCGCGTCGTAGACCCCCCACAAAGCGTCTTGAACCGCTTGTAAATACGGGCGTTCAGGAGAGCAGCAGACTCCCCCTTCTCGACTGGGATGTCCAGCCCTGTACGCCACGCTTCGATGAGGCGCAGCACCTCTAAGATAGTCCAGTTGGGGCCTCGCGGCCGAGAGCCATCAGACTGCTTCCCTGTGGATTGGTTCTTCTTCGCCATGCTTCTCGGATGCCCCCTACTGAAGACTTTTGCAGTAGCGATTTTGCTACTGCAAAATCTTGTACCGTCTGCGGGTTATTGAGTAGGAGTGCATTGATTTTAGTTAGGATTTCTTGAGTTGTTACTGAAGATTTACGAGTGCAACCCCCCTCCAGTGTGAGCGTGCTGTAGCATTTCAAGGGCGTAAATACAAAGGAGCTGAGAAGAATTATTCATTACGAGAGAAAGAACTACTCGCAATTCTGTACGTACTTCGAGTCTGGAGAGTTTATTTGCTAGACAAGCCCTTCATTGTGGAGACTGACCACAAATCCCTGGAAAATGTATTCACACAGAAGAGTATTTCGCGACGAATTGCGAGATGGTACGATGAATTGAGCGAATACCCAGTGACGTTCAAATACATTCCTGGAGAAACTGTGGCCGGCGGTATTTCACGTAGAGCTGATTTTGAGGATTGTGTTCGACTGGAGGAGACCATCACAGCAAATATGATGAGTTCTCAAGTGAAGAATGGATTGTCACCAGTTGTAACCGAAGCAAGTGAGAGGTACAACGAGGATCGTCACACTCAAACAATCATCCAGGCTTTGAGGGATAATTTGAAGAAATGTGAAACCCAAAAAATTAAGTTCTTTCGCGCTATTTGCTTGATGGTGGCAAACTGTTTTACACTGGGCCAAATGATGAAGCTCCAAGGTTCGTATTACCAGCTGTTAAGGAGTTGATTAACGCAATTCTCTTCGAATTTCACGATGTCGAGTGCTACGGACACGCTGGAATGGAGCGTACGCTACGTCTCGTCGAACAAAACTACTTCTGGAGACACATAGTGTTCGCCTGTATGTGAAGTCGTGCGAAGTTTGTCAGCGAACGAAGGCCCGGAACATGAAACCACATGGGCTCCTTCAAAGCCAACCTATGCCGCGTGATCGTTGGACCAACATAGCGATGGATTTCATTGTTGGGTTGCTCCATACATGATTCGGTGCTAGTGGTCGTGGATCAGTTGACTAAGAGAGCGCATTTTGTGGCATGTAAGAGTACTGATTCGGCTAGTAATATCGCGGAACTATATCGAGACTGCATATTTGTACTGCATGGAATCCCAGCGGAGATCCTTTCAGATAGGGATCCCAAGTTCACTTCGACTGTGTGGACAACGCTATGTGCAAAGTTAGGGACACGTCAGAAGCTAAGCACAGCTTTTCGTCACCAGGAAAATGGTGTGACTGAGCGTTGAAATCAAACAATCGAAAACTACTTGAGAGCATATTCGAATGGAGCCTCAACTGATTGGGACTCGTACCTTGTCATGGCCGAGTTCGCATACAATTCAAGGTTTCAGCAGTCGATATCGATGACGCCGTTTGAAGCCGACCTTGGCTACCTTCTATCTACTCCTGCTACAATTATGAACCCACCGCAACCAAGTGGTGCTGAACGACAACGACAAGCATTGGGAAAGACGTTTCTCGAGCTCCAAGCCGATCGTTTGGCAACTGTTCGCCGTGAGCTGCAGACGGCAGCTGATCGTATGAGTAAATACTATGATTCGAATCGGCCGCTCCAAACTTTAGAAGTGGGCGAGGAAGTGTTATTGTCGACTGAAAACTTGGCCAACTATCACGCCGGAACAACCAAATCGAAACTCGGTGCAAGATGAATTGGTCCATACGCTATTGTAAATCGGTTTGATCACGATTACTATGAAATTAAGCTTCCCAAAGGAGTCAAGTTCCACCCTGTTGTTCATACCAGCTACTTAAAGCCGTATGTACGAAGTGATGATCGGGAGCAGAAAACATTTAAGGTACTGTTGCCAGACAACACGGAGGGCGAACTACTGGAGGATATTGTGGGTTGCAAACGAGTACGTGGCAAACTAAAATACAAGGTGAAGTGGCTAGGACAAGCAAGATGCACATGGGAACCACTCCGAAACTTGAAGTATGTGGGCGACCGGATCAATCGCTTTCATCAACGCAAGATCAAGAAGGGGTCTCTTCTTAGCAGACGGTATGTCACGAGTTTTGTGTAGAATACTCGCGAGCTAGTTAACCTTTAACTAGTCCGCTGATGTTGCTTGAGCGACAGGGATGGGACTTACACTACTGGTAGTGATCCGTTAGGATGTTTAGAAGCAACGGCACTTTAGAACGGCAACTACTAGGCAGGAATGCATGTAAAAACCAAAGTAGGAAGAAAGCATACGAATGAGCAAGCGGGCTCATTTTGGAACCGGATAAAAAGAAAATAGCCGGCTTCGGCTCTGGCCAAGCAGCTGTGGACAAACCACAAAGGTGTCTTCGGGTACACATCCCGAGAACCTAATCTACCACTTTAGTGTTTTCAAGACATGATCTCGGACACATAAAGGAACAACTTAAAGACTTCCTGCGCATAAGTGCTACCGCATCCACTCTTCCATCCCACTCACAGCGAGTTGGAAAAGTGCGACAACCTCACATGAAGCTTAACAAGAAGGTAAGCGCTCTTATAAGAAAACTAAAAACTGTCAAGCGTATCGCCAAGCTTACACAGGCCGGTTATCATTACAAGCCGATTCCTTTTCATCAATTCCGTTGGAGCGGCTGCTACCGCATGTTGCAGAAGCTTGAAAACCTTTGTCCATACCTACATGTTTTTCAAGACGACTGTGGCTTGGGGAGTGATCTTCCTGTTGACGCCACCAATACTGATAATATGCGTAAAGTTGCTCTTGTCAACCATATTCCCTCAGTTAGCGAGCGGGGAAAGACTTTAAGGTTGCTAGACGAGATGACAGCATTTGGTGTTATTACCGGGAAGTTGTAGTGCAACGGCATGACTGTGGCGACTGCCAGATACATTTTCGACGTATTTTTTGTATGAGTACTAGGACATGGAGATGTACCTTCATCGAGTCTCCTGTTTGAATGTGGGTTGGCGAAGCTGCAAGGCGGTGTGAAACGTCTTTGCTTAGAACTCGGGTGCTCATGTACATGAAGTTGAACTGGGATTTTGTCACACTGGTTAATGTACCAAAAGCAATATAACGGTCAAAAGGCAACAACGTCGACGAAGAAGCGTAGGTCGAACCAATATATTGCAATATCAAGGATGTAGAATGTTAAGATTGCAATTATTGTTTGTTCTGAAATTGTACGTACAATCAATAAACAATCTATATTGCTGTCTGTTGATTCAACTTATTCTATTTTAAGTACCGAAGCACTTCCGCACGCTACATGGAAAAAAGTCGTATCACACACCTCGTGTGTGATTGGATGGCTCTCTTGTCTGTTTTTACTAAGAAATTCTTATTAAGAATCGTAGACTATCTTGAAGCAAATCGTGATGTGAGAACCAGCCGCGATCGCAGCTACAAGTATTCTTCGTGGTTAAGAGCGAAGGTGGCTCCAGCACGATCCAGAAGGTTCGCTTCGTGAACTCAGGAATCGCGAATCATGAGTCAGTCTTACCTGAAAGGCATCAAGCCGTCTAGTACTTTTCTGCCGGAAGAGACCAATAAATACGCGCTCTCAGTTACTGATTAGTTTCGTCGTTGGTCACAATTGAATGGTCGATCTGCTGTATAAACATGTTCGGCCGATCTATGAAGATCGGCAACAATAGCATACTGAAATCAAGTTTATGTTTGGTACAAAATGAGTATATATATATTATAGTATGCATCTCTGATTCCAGCCGCCGAAGTGACTGCATGACAGAAGTCCACATGATGGAGCACTACACTGCGCACAAACTAATTGTTCGTTGTATGTCATGCATACGACCGGTGCTGGTCTAGACTAATAACTGACAAGCTTCTTTATTCTCATGGTGTAAGCTTAGCGCATCTTTCATTTTCAAATTTTCATGCCAGTTTCAAGCAAAACAATAGATAGTGGTACGTCTATTCTGTGTTGATCGCTGTGTTTCACGACATATAACTAAGCAAGTAGATGCACATTCGCAAAACAAGCTGGATGAACATGTTTGGTTAAGAAAACTGAAACGACTGAATGTATTTTGCTTAATTCCGACAATATTGATGCCAGGACAACAAATTTGGCTTTAAGTGACCGATACTAATGCTGGTACAATAGCTGTAAGCTTAGAAAACTCATTTCCCGTCAAACCATTGGAATATGTCCATCTCAGTCTACTTTGTTCCAGAAATGCAAAGCAA